TATCAGATATATTAATTGAACCTAAACACCCGGTTTACGATCGTCTTCTTCATTTCACTTCTTTTTAACTCGTATTAAAAACTATTTTGTTAAATCTGCATTTGCTTTTTCTCTCCTTCTCTGAATTCTTCTCCATCGCTTACGAAGTTCAGAGCAGATCTCAAAACCCACCTGTTTGCAAAATTCATTGAGGAGCTCTGTTGAACATCGGGAAAAAGTGTCAAGTCTTTCATAAATTCACGCCATCAAATGAAATTATTTTAGCACAGATGTTTGTGCAAATATATTTATTTTACATAATCAACTGATTTTTAAAAATTGAAAACTTTTGTTATTAAGAGTTGAAAAAGTCTGTTAATTAAAAGATTCAACTACATCGGTGATATTAACAATTCTGCCACTACTTAGTTATCATCGTCGTCGTCGTCTTCATCATCCTTTTATTTGTTTGCGTGGTCTGGATAGTTCACTATCATTATACTTTTGCGTCAGCCTTAATGAACTTGTTCTTCAATGCATGGATGAATTATTATTTTTGTTACTTTCAATCTTTCAACTCTTTTTTTTTTTTCGTTCATTCGTTGCATTCTTTCATCTTCATTTTCTTCCTCCGTTCATCTGCTGCCGTGTGAGAAGTTTCTAGGAACACTGAACCGTACAGAGAAGAAAAATAAGAAATAAAGGAATGAATGAATGAACGAACAAACGAACAAAAGAACGAACGAAAGAATGAATGAATGAACGAACGAACGAACGAACGAATAATGAATGAATGAAACACGTCAGCACTAGCAAACATTTTAAAGCAACTGTCTCGTTGAAGAAATATTTCGTTAAAGGCGAAATATCAATAAAAAATTTTAAGGCACAGCAAACATACGTTTGTATATTATATCGCCCCCACACATAAACTTCTCTCTCTCTCTCTCTCTCTCTCTCTCTCTCTCTCTCTTTAACTCTTTCACATGCATACAGAGAGTTAAAGGGTCATAATCTATGTTGTTGTTTGAAGCACGCAAACAAAATTTCATGTAGGATAATTCGTGGAAGAGGTTCGCCTGCTTTTAATGGCAACCTTCCTGATGTGAGGATCATTCCGAGAAGACTGACGCCATCCAATATCGTGTGTGCCTGTGTGTGAGTTTGTGTGTGTGTTCTTCACATCCTCCCGTCATTACATCATAACATCATCATATCCTGGTTTCATCATACCATATCATGTACGTGTTTGTACGTTGCGTTTGTATGTGCCTTGTACACCTTACATTTTTTATTAGTAAGAGTTATTAAGACTAAATGAACATTCATTCGCCACATTTTTGTTACTTCAAACTCACAAGCCAAACTTTGATAAACAAGCAGATACTTGTGCGTGTGAGTGCACGCGTATGTGCATTCGAGCGTGTGTGATGGTTTGTTGTTATATAAGAGGAGCAGAAACGAGCTTCGTTTGAATAAAGAGAAGAAGAAACGATTGGATGGATGTTGAGCACCATATAAAACATTTGTGTATACAGATGCCTGTCGTCAGTATTTGCTTGCAAATATTGCAAAATAAATTTTATTTCATACATTTTAATAAAATGTTATTCAACAATTAAGAAAAATTATAAAAAGGTGAGTTGAGAAAGTTTCTTTCCTGTTGGCCTGTTTCTGTTTGTCTGTTTGTTTGTCTGTATGTTTGTTTGTTAGTTTGTTTATTTGTTTTATGGATGGATGGATGGATGGATGGATGGATGGATGGATGGATGGATGGATGGATGGATGGATGGATGTACATGTTGCAACAGTTTTGATACCAATTTCAGCCGCAACTAACACTTCATTTTCATAATGTTGCGCATTTATTTATTTTCTGTTTATTTATTTATTCATTTATTTATGGCAGAATATAGGCTTAAATAAATAAATACGTCATCAAACGTGCGATATTTGCAAATGTTATTTAATGTATTTCGTCTTCATGACGTAATAATAATATAAATAAAAAATAATATTATTAATAATTATAATAAAATATAAATAATAATAAAATATATATAATATATAATAATAATAAGTAGTTTTTTCTTTAAAAGGTTGAGAAACTAGAAAAGATTAGATAGCAAGGTGGAACATTCAGTGGAGCACTTCATTAAGAATATCTTTACGTCATCGTCATCATTCTCATTCTTCATTCTTTACAAATAAACCAACAAACATCAACAAAAGATATCAATATGAATCTTCATCAACAACATCAACAACAAAAATCTCAACATAGTACCCCCACTCGTCAACATCACTTACACTATCAACAGCAGCAGCAGCAGCAGCAGCAGCAACAACAGCTGCAGCAACCACAACAAAAAATTAAAGATGTCGGAGTACAAGTTGATTGGTCCGTGTTTGCTGATACTGACAATCATGAAATAAAAGTTTGTAAATTAACAAATGAATGAATAAATAAATGAAATAATGTATGAATGAATGAATGAAACATGATCATTGAAATGCACTAAATACAAAAATTATACATATACGTACACACAATGATTTTTTCAGTCAATTTTTTGACTTTATTGAATAACGCACGAAATAAAAGACTGAAAATTTTGTTGATCCTATAAGTTGTAAAAAATTTATTGAAAAGATGTTTTCTTTTTTAAATTTAAACAAAAAATATCGTAATATGTCAAATATTTTTAACATTTCTCAAAAGAGCTTACAGAGAAAACTAGAGACATCAGTGTATCGAATTCATTTAAAATCAGCTCAAAATGTGCTGGCACCAAGATAGCTGTTACCTATGTTATTTATTTTACATGAACACAAGTTATTCTGGTTTGCTATTTGTTCTTCGCCATTCATGTGAATCGTTCTGCTCCTTTTATTTTTACGTCTTCTGGATCTGAGTAGTTTGATAAATGTACATTTTCTACATCCTAAAAATTCTCAAAAGTATATGTACACATACATTTATTAATTACCTGATATTTTTACAATTTGTATAAAATTTACAAGCCACCTAAATATTTTTCGTTTTCTTGAATTTTATTATCAATTTGCAAAGCTTGTCGTTGCATACTATATTTTTTTGGTATTTACATCTTAGTGTATTTTTTATTACTTCGAAAAGGTTGCCAGCAAGTTTCTGCTTTCTGTCTTCTTAAGTTTTCATCTCTTTCTAATTTCTAAATTGTTTCTTATACTTTTTATTAATTATAGTGGTGGTTTATGAATAAACACGATTTTGTGTGATTCCATAACGAAAAGCTCTGTTTGCTCTCTCTATATTTTCTCCATAAGATGTTTCTTTATATTGTGCGAATAGAGCGCCATAAAGACTTTTGAAATCCATTTAATGAAAGTGCCAATAATCAACAAAAATTATAAACTTACTTGTGACATGGTTGTGACTTGGTTCCTCGAAATAACAGACCCATGACATTTGTCTATTGGCTAATCTGACCTTTATAACGATAGCGATTAACTGATAATGATGATGACCATGATGATGATGTTCAGACAAGGATGTTTAAAGGATACAAATCGTTTCCTTAGGAATAGCACGATGTTGTTTCTTCTTTCATCTTACATTCATACTTTCTTCAACGATAAATTTATTTTCATCTCAAGTTCCAGATGTTTGCTACATTTTTAACATTTCTATTTCTATTTTTCTTTTATTTTCTCTCTTTCTCCTATTTCTTTTTTCTCTTTCTATTTTTCCAGTTTAAAGACACAAACTTGATAAAAATAATAAATAAACAAGCGATGTTTATGTTAAGCCACCGTGGAAGAAGATTGATAATTATTTAAAAAAATCATCATTCATTGATTCGTTCGTTATTTAAAATTTGATTAAACAATGGATGATGATGATTTGACGAAAGACGATGAAGACATAATAAAACCCTGCCTCCAAACAGACCATGTATGCATTAACCAGCAATCTCATCTCGTTCGCCAATAACGGTGGCAACAAATCAACGGTTATCACAAGCAGCAGCAGCAGCAGCAGCAAGAACAACAACAACAGCCATAAAATTGAAGAAAGTTCAGAAATGAAGGAAATGAGATTGATGAGACAAAGAGAATTTAATTTGTTGGGACATCTTAATGACTATCGTAAGAGAACCGATGAGCTGAAGAGAAAAGTATTATTTTATTAGTTTTTTATTCGTTTATTTTATACTCTCATGTATTTTCACACCTATCAACTTTTTATTCATTTTTTGGTTCTCTAATTTTTTTTCATTCACTCGTTTATTTTTTATTTATCAACGTTTCCGTATTTTTATCATCATAATATTTTTTCTCCCAACTCTAAACAATCAACAACCAACCAACCAAATGCAAGTCCATATATCTCTTCTTCTTAAATAAACACACGCACCTGCACTCACATGCACAAACCCGCACATATATCTACTTATTAATATACCCCGTCAAAAACATTGTTAGATATCTCTGCGGGACATGCAAGTGGAAAGGTTGGAGAAAGAGCTGACAAAACAAAAAGAATCCCTGGTGGAAGCCAAGGGCAAAGAGAGGGAGCTGCAGTATCTCATCAATGATCTCAGGCTGACTATCGATGATATCAATGAGAGGGTATGTTGGTGGCTTGTTGGTTGGTTGGTTGGTTGGTTGTTTTAATGACTCGTTCATCCTTTTATTCACTCATTCATTCATGCACTCACTCACTCACACACGTACTCACTCACTCACTCACTCACTCACTCAGTTCAGAGAAGAAGCAGTGTTGTCCAAGTTAAGAGATGCAGAGCACGGAGAACTAGTCGGGAAATTGAAGAATAAAATTCATGTTGGTGTCTTGGTGACGGTGATGATGACGATGTCGATGATGATGATGATGACGGTGGGAATGACGATCTGGTGAATAAATTCATCGTTTATGTTAGTTTCATGTGCATTTAATCATCGAATTTGTTATTAAATTTTTTGTTTCGAGCTTTTATAAAGTTTAGGGATTTGAAAAGAAATAAAATGAGTTCAAATTTTAACATAATTGACAAAAACCCTTTATTACTGATGAAGCAATTTTTATCTTTTAAACAGAAAACAAAATTTCGCGGTGAAAATATTTTGATAGCACCAATGGACATGAACCTGATGGAGTCCTCACCCCACAACTTCAATCATCGATCAACCGATCACCTCGCCATTGAAAACTTTGACCATCATAGGAGAGGAAGCAGTAACCAATGTGCTGCTGGAGGTGTTTTCAAACTTTCTGCATCTCTTGGCAGCATATCACCGACAAAGAAGAACAACTTAACAACAATGGAAGACGCGAGAAGAAGATCTGATGACAGTGGACGTCTCAGGAAGTCCATCGCAAAACTGACCGTCAACAATCCACACGATGATTCCGAAAGTGATTTGAGTTCGAGTTCGGCTGAATGGGATGAAAGATCGAAATGGCGAACGAAAAACGTGAACATTCATGCGAACAAAGACAGGAGGCGTCGCCGTAGTAAACAAGCAGCGTTGGCCGTAGTGGCTCTGGTGAACAACAACACGCTTACTTCTGGGCTATCTGATTCAAAGTTGAACAGTCATGAGAACAACAACAACATTGCAAACAATCATGTTAAAAGTAACAACAACATAGTAAGTAATCACAACAATATTGGCTTAAAGGTAGAAGGCAGTCCGCAGCGTAAGGGCTCGCCACAAGCCCACCGACCTCATGCGATCAACATGCAACAACAACAAACTCACCACCCTTTGTCGCCAGATCAAAAGAGAAGTTTATTGTTGAACAGTTTTGTAAACAACATGGATTGAGTTGTTTGATACTAACAACAATACATTCTGGACAACGTTAACCTTTATATATACGCCTATTTGTATGCATGCATGCATGTATGTATATATGTATTTAGCAATGTAAATGTATGTATATGTTAATATTGTATTTAATTATCATATGTGTATGTATGTATGCATGTATGTAAGTATGCATGTATATATGTATGCAGCATCTCCTCTGTATGTATGTTTGAATGTATGCAATGCATGTACTTTATTCGCTGCCTATGAACGCACGTATGTATGTGTAGAGTACGAACAAATGTAAACACATATGCTCTGTTTGCTTAGTGCGTCCTACCCTACAAAATCATCTTATCACACACACACACACACACACACACACACACACACACACACACACACACACACACACACACACCTCACCAGTGCAGTACATACAGATACATACCACACACACCAACACACACACAAACATGTAGAAATATTTGATACGACCTTACATAACACTCGCTGATAGTTTTGTAAGGAAAGTATCTGAAGTATTTACAAATAGATAATTTCTTAATAATGGATGTAATACAAACGATGTCGATGCACATGTAAGCCAACCAATCCAGAACATCTTTTTGCTTAGTGTAATACAAATTTGATGAAAATAGATCAGTTTTAACACCATCATCCAAGATAGGCCATATTTTTTGTTTGCATGTGTGTGTATTTATATGCGTGTTTCTGTGTGCATGTCTTTGGCACTGGTGCATTCTTTAATATCAATACTTTCGCATGTTTATTTTGTTTTCTCTTTCGTGCGGCGACAGAGGAATGTTGTTTTGAAAGCCCCCAGCAATCAATTAATTTGTATATTATCTGACATAACATTTGTAATAGACTACTGTTTGTACATTCTTTTATTTTCCATCTTTTGATTTCCTTATTCATTTTGTATTTAATTACATCAGATAACGACACCACCTACATTCAGAGCGACTTAAAAATGATGTTTACCAATCATAATATAATACAAAATTATGCAAAACCAAACCAACTAACCGACAAAAACGATAAAACTTTGAGGAGGAACGAAAATAATCAACAACCAATCAATCTTATTCAGGTTCGTCGAAAAGTATTCAAATGCCATTCAAACCTTCAACACCTTAGAAAACAAAAAAAAAACTAGGAAACGCGATGACTGATGACGCTGTATTGCCGTATCAGACATGTCGCATCATGGTATCATTTCCATCATCATTCACATCGTGTTGTGTCGGTTCGTTACAAAACGTTAATGTTCTCCTCTTCATTGCAAAGATGAAAAACAACAACGAAGCCGTGTAACTGCGCGAGAAGTTTAAGATGAACGAGAACAATGAAAAAATAAAAAGCATTCGTATTGTGTTAGGCACAAGATTTGAAATCAAATTTTTAATGGAAGTCATCGGCACAAACGCTCTGAAATAAAAGCTAAAATAGATTAAATGTTTATTTATAAAGCCTGTTATTTAAAAAAACCATTAAATTAAAACAATTTAACATGAGATACGAGGATTGGGCAGAAATGAATTCTTAAAGGAGAACAATAAAATGAGATGTTGGCATAATTATTGAACAATAGAAACGCCATTTGAAGTTCATTTTATCGTCAAATACGATCGTTAACTTGTGAATAAAATTTGATACTTGAGTGAAAAGCACCTATAGCTTAATAACTTTCTAATCGCTTTTTAATGTACAAATAAATATATTTACAATCAATTCATTGCAGAAATTAAACTATAATATAAAAATATAACAGCAATAGAAATTGAAAGAAGAATAATCAGAAGGCGGTCGGCAGATTATTCAAATATTCCTCATTTACTGTTCGTACTTCTCAGACAAGATGGTGAGCAAACTGTCCAGTTTTGAAACCCTATCAAATCTGTTGACCACGACACCCTTGCTGCCCCAGAGATACCTGGCCTGTGTTCGTGGATCAAGAAGATCTAACAAAAAGGTTACTCTGTGAGGGTTGGATTTCTGAAAGTTGGAACTTGCGGTGAGATAGAGATGGACTCTCTGTGTGATGAGGCGGGTGGTGTCCAGGTGGATGAGGACGATATCCAGGCCGTAGAAGGGTTGGTTCATCTCCCAACTGTGCAACTTCGCAGACGTTGGTGATGAATGTGCCTGTTTTGATCAGCATTGTTTGTATAAATTTGGATTTTAAACAAACACGCTGTTTAAATCATATACTTATAATATCTATACTGGTCCTCGAACGCACCCTCGCACATTTTTAGAGTCCGGTCTAACTCTTTAGTTTCCATGAACAATTATTCATCAAGCTCAATTTTACAATTTTTACATTTTTAAAGTTCATTAATAAACATTGATTCCTTTTGTTAAATGTTATTCATTTTAATTATTTTTTAATTGATTTATTTCATGCATTTGCATAATATTTATACGTATTTAATATCTTTTTTCTGGTTTGAGCTAGTCGTGCTTGGCAGACACCCCTGGTTTAAATGTGGGAAAACCAATCAAAAAATTGTAAAAAAAAAACAGAAACAAAACAAACAGCATCACAAGTAGCCACATCATCTCCTTCATACGCATATTTCTCAAGAATCTCAACCAGAGGCAGTAAATGTGGTAGTATGGTGTCTCTCTGGTAAGGCAAGATGACAGCACTTCCGTCAAGAAAGCTCTTATAGTTTGCTAGCAGTTTGCCTTCAAAAATCTGTTTCGTGTTGTATTGTGTTCAGTTCTGTTACTGTGCCGTTATGATTTTGTGCCGTGGTGTGGTGATGTGATTTTAGTTTTTGGATTATTATGACAACAGCAGCAGTGGATGGCCAACCTCAAACGTAGACGGATGCAGCATCTTCAGCAACTTCCACACATTTTTTTGCCGGACCACCTGCGGACAAATTCACTGTATTATAGAACAAACTTAACAAAACAAAACAAAACATCTGTGCATATAAACAGCAAGAAGCGAATGAACAATGATAAAAGATGAAACTTCATAACTACTCTGGTCAGAAACTAAACAAACCTGAAACGAACAGACAGCCTCCATGACACTGAAGAATGAAAAGATGTTCCCTGCGTTGACCTTCAACTCGAAAGCGACGTTGAGCCAGTGTGCGAGAATGTCACATCTCTCCTCCAACGATGGACTGAACAAAATTGTGGCCCCAACAAACAATTTCATACTGTAATGTCTGCAAGGATGTTGAGTGATTTTTATTTGTGAATGATGGTGGTTTTAATTGGTCAAGTGGCTGATGGATTAACTGAATGAATAAACAACCTTTCAATAATATCCTGCCTCAATTGTTGACCTTGAAAAAGAGTTGTAAGTTCAAGGCCGGACAATGAACCCAAGCTAGTATCCACAAACTGATTCAGCCTTGTTAACTCAATGTCAACGAACGTTATATGTCTGGTTGTTTTGATTGATAATAACAAGAATAAAAACAACAACGAAATAGAAATAACACGAGAGAGAAAGAGAAAAGGCAAAAAACATACTTTGAAATGAGATTGGGGTTATTTTGCAGCAGCAACTGCCTAATTTTGGATGTCGCTTTCTGATCAAGTGGTTTGATGCAAGGTGTGATCAAGTCACTTTTGTACTCTTCAATGTTTTTAAAATATGACGACGACAATGGGCTGAAGATGTCACCAGTGCAGATGGTTGTCGGATCCCTTGAACTAATTCTATTCTTTCCATTTCCACCAATTGCATTGCTATTAGTATTTTCAATATCATCATCGATTCCTTCATAAAGGGTTGTATTTCGGATCTTAATAACAGGTCGGACCGTTCCACTGCTAGCTTGCATCTTCAATGTTGCAATTCTACTTGGCTTCGGAGGAGCCGATGACGACGACGAAGATGTTGATGATTTTTTAGAGTTGGGTAATAAAGATGATGATGATTCATGTGAAGAAGAATGTGATAATTTGTAGGAAGGGGGTGAAATGTGGTTGATGTTCGTGCTTTTTGGTGACGACTGTTGTGCATTTAAATAGGATTCAGGTTTGGCAGCTGAAGGGATTGTTCTAATATTTTGGTTGTTGTTATTAATGTCGTTAATAGTAACGTTATTACCACTAATGTTATTATTAATGTCAGCAATTTTTGATTGTTTAGCAAGTGCCGTAAAACTTGAATCTAACATACTTTTGTTAGTAGTAGAATTTGTTTTATTTATGTAATCAACTCTGTTACAACTATCGCTATAATTAGCAGATGTGTTGTTATCATCATCATCATCGCCATCAGCAGCAGCAGTGTCAAACGATTTTATTGAAAATATGATTTTGTTAGAAACATGTGGCATGCTTGGACACCTATCGATGTTGGAGTTCCTAGGCTTGCTTGTGCTAGATGGGATGGCCACTGATAACAATGGCTGGCTGCCCGTCCATTTACCTTTGTCCAAATTCATCTGCTCCATGTAGCTTTTGTTGAAGGATTTGCAAACATGTCTGTCATCGTCATTATCATCATCATCATCATCCTGATCGTTTTTGTGTGAGAAGTTTGGTGATTTTATTGGATTGGTGATAATGGACCTGGAGTCGCTGGATATGATTGGTTTTTTGTTGACCACGTGATGTTCAATCAATGACGTCACTGACAAGAATGACTCATCTTCAAATTTGAAATGCCTGACTGAATAACAAGTGAATAAATCAGCATGTAGTCTATACTGTTATCAATTAATTTTATGACCAAACTATGCAAATATATTTCCAAACAAAATAAACTACCAAACAACTATTTCAAAAGTATTAAAAGATAATAAGCTAACACTTGTGCTTAAGAAATGACTGCACAGCAAGATGCTTGATGAGGTCAGAGTTCATCTTGAAAGTCAAAATAATTTCACCTGGAGCAGCAGGCGAGTTCCTAACCAGAAAATCTCCAGACTTTTCTAACCTCTGTTCTGCCTGGGACCTCGTTATCAGGCCGTGGTACCAGGGGCTTGCTCCCATCTCCATCAACAGTGGCGAATTCAGGACAGGGTTAAGCCCCAGAGGACACGTCAGGAGCTTGTTTGAATGGAACATCAAGTGGAAGATGTTCTGTGGGATGGTCGACTCTGCCTTCAACTTATCCAGTCTTTTTAAATAATTTTTTGCATAATTATAGCAAGGATTTAAAGAAGGGGGTGAAATTAGGCAACCTATCTTAGCAGAAAATTAATTATTAAATATATAATAATATATACAGATTTTTAAAGAAAATCAAAGAAACAAAACTCACTGAATATTTTTTTCAAGGTTCTTTTTCCTGAAACCTGATGATATGGTGCAAAAATTTAAAAAAGTCACTGAATGAATCAATTTTGAATAAATATCAATATATGAATGATTGAATGAACGAATTAATGAATATAAAAATGAATAAATGTATGAATGGATGAATGTATGAACAGATGAATGTACGAATATGTGAATAACAAGGTTCATAATAAAACATCAACATTTAATTAAAGATACAAATATGAAAGTTTAACACAAGTTGAAAAATTGAAAAACGCACACACACACAAATACATAGACACATACACAGACTAACACAGACAAACGAACATACTTCTACTCCTCTTCCCTCTTATAACAGCTAAACTGGACATCATCCTCGCTCGATCTGTCGAAGTTTTCACACCCAACTTTTTCAAATCTGATTCAGATAACCTCACTAAGTCCTGTGTTGTGTTCATTCAATTGTTTCAATCAATCTTTTAATGCAATAACAACAATAATAAAAATAATAGCAGAGATCTGCAAAGTACCTCAAGTCCATGATATTTAGAGAATAAGTGTTCATAAGATTGAAGTTGCAAACCAGCTAGCCATTCTTCAATGCTGTTGAACTTTTGAACTGAACTTGTAAACGTTTCGTGATATTGTTTCCTATTCATCTTCAATTAACTACTTCCGCATTAATCTGCAACACTGGAATGAATGTTGTATAAAATAATAATATATAGTGATAGACTACTATTAGATTAAATGAGGTGAAGAGGAGAGAAAACTCAAGTGATACAACATTCAAAAAAGTACTTATTTTGATGTAAAAGGTTTGGACAAATGAATGAATAAATGAACAACTATATAAAATGAGATGTGTGTGTAGCAATACCAATGGAGATAAAGATGTAATTAATATTAATCTCATCTCTACAAATATCATTTTTTATATTAGTTGTAAGCAAGTGTACATTTATAACCATGTGATCTGAAGTTGACAGCTGCCAAACCAAAATAAAAGAACAATTATATTATTAATGCTAACCAATATTCACCATTTTATAATTGATTTAGTTAAGAATTTGCTGTTTGTATACAATACACAATAAAAATATCACTCAATCACGTAGTCATTTATTTGCTTGCACTATTGCATCCAGCGTATTATATATACACATATTTAATTATATATGTATATTATACATCACATAGACACAAACACACACACATCAAAACGCAAACATTATAATATGTTCATACTGCTAACACAACAACATGCATTTTTAATTAGCTTGTGTGCATGCTTTCATAATAAAATAGCAGCATACATTGAGTTGTTAAAATGATCACACACACACACATATATCCACAAAAACACACATACAAAAACAAACAGGCACATACACACACAAAATGACGTGAATTCACAAGTAAAAGAAAAACTACTTTAAACGAAATGTTATCTCATGAAAAACTTTCAACTTGGATTTTCAAATCAATTTTTTTAAAATACGGTAGGACCTCCGTATAACAACGAATTAGTTATTAGATGGTTCCAGAGAAAATTTATTATATACAAATTTTGTCATATAGAATTTGTTCGGGAAAAAATTCTATATTGCCTAAAAAATAAAAGGTGTTTATATGTTACATATTTATGAAAAACAGCTTCCTAACCATTCATTTTGGTAACAGAAAGTAATAACGCGTGATATAATCGTAAAAAAAATTTAAAATTGAAATTTATTCTTTATTCCAGTAAAATTAATTTAATCGGGTTAGAATTAGCACAATCCCTAGAACTCCCTACATTTTTTATATATATTAACTTGAAACGTGATAAACAAACGGGGAAGTCAGAGTCAGTTTTTGGACATTTTGAGGCTGAATATCTTGTCATTTTTATGAACCGAAAATCTTGCGAAACTGATGTGAGTATGTATAATAAAGAAGAAACGCCCCATATAGACGTTAAATCGCTGTTTTAAACCTTAAATGTATTTCATATTTATTTTCAAATTTAAAATAGATTCAAATAATTATAAATAACGCATTAAAAAAAGCATTTTAAAAGGCAACAGTTTATCGTGATCATTCACTCTTCAAACGTTACAGACAGCATAACCTCTAAAAGCAATCATTAAGATTGCCTCAGACTGTATGTGGTATTAGAAGTGCAGCAGTGGAAATAGCAGTAACAGCATTAATATTTTCTTCCATAAAATGAGGCTCTCCATAAAATCGGAGTTAGCGGGGTTAGCGGAGTTTTTCTGACTTACTTTCAAATCTCTATACCATAGTCCAATTAGTGATTACCCTGGACAATTAAATGAAGTTCTTATAACTATTAAATTGTTTAATTATTATTGTAATTATTATTATTATTATCATAGTATAAATGGTAAATTTGAAAATTATTTGCTTTTTATTTAATTATGATATGAATTCCAATATCATTCCAATATCAAAAAATCATTATATATATATATTCAATTCAAAACATATACCTACAGGAAAATAACAACATAAATGGAAATAAAATCGTATAGCTAGCCAATGAAAACAATTTAAATTAAATCAAAAATGAGCAGACATTACTCAGAACAAAATTGGTCATCAAAATTTATCAAGTTAAACAAAACAATTGAATTCATAATAGAAGTTTATCCTTATAGCATAACTCAAACTTAAATAAATCATATCATGTAAAAAAAATTTGCTCCTAATTAAGTCAAAAATCGATTTTTTAAATAGCTCATAGTTAGATACTTGTAATACTAAACACGCTAGTTTTGACTGCAGTTTTAAACCAAAAAACTGAAGATGAAATTAAAACAGTACGAGGGACAATACAGTTGTATAATGGAGTGTGCCGAGTTGTTCTTTTACAATATTAGGAAGATTTAATCAAATATGAATTAAACATAACAAATTTCTTCTTAACTATAACATTAAACAATAATAATCTGAAAACGTACAGTTTAGGAATAGACAACAAATTAGACAACGATAAATAATCGATAAATAAACAATAATATTTTTTCAGATCATAATAAATACGAATAAAGAAGTATAAACATCCATCTAAGATAATATGAGACTTAATGTAACGACCTCAAACTACGATACAATAAGTGAAACAAGGATAAATAAGAAAATATAAAATAAGTAATAAACATTTCGGTAAAAGAGATTTTAGTCTAAAGATTATTCCTAGATTTTTAGATATTTTGTTTGATATGCTAATTGTGTGCTCTTTCCAACTTAAATTGCTTGAGATTGTAACAACTAGAAAGATTAATTTGTCCAATCAACCTACCAAATTGTTATTGTAGAAAATAAGGAATGTTAGTAAATTGGTGACAACTTTAGATCGGCTGGCGATTCCACAAGTGAAGATGAATGTATTCTTAATTCAGAACTCGCAAGTTAATTTATCAAAAACGTAAGCGATTCTTTTTTGTTTTAAAATTGTCCTAAAAATTATCCTAAAAACAAACAAGCGAATAAGAACAAGCAATCAAGCGAACAAGAACAAGTCCTAACTTGAACGGCATTTAGTGAGAAGCCCCCTCGCCACGTCAAGGCAGCCGTTCATGAGGGGGTAAATAATAAAACGACAGTCTAGAAATAATAAGTAACGAACGTTTAGTAATAATAAATCACTTAACTAAAATATAACGAAAATAATATTGTATTGATTGTTGTGTTTGATTGCTGTTGTTGATGTTGTGTTGAACGAAATTCATTACAAATAAACTAAAACGTAAGAAAGAAAGAATAGAATCCCTAACCTACCTATGTTCACTAAATTAACTCACCTATGTTCAATTAGCTCAACTTACAAATTAATCCTACCTATCTGTACAATTACAAAGAAAAAGGTAAAGTAGAGAGGATAAAACATCAAGCAAACAAAACGAATGTATGTATGTATGTATGTGTGAATGTATGTGTGAATGTATGTGTGTGTGTGTGTATGTGTGTGTGTGTATGTGTGTGTGTGTTTGTGTGTATGTGTGTGTGTGTGTGTGTGTGTGTGTGTGTGTGGTGTGTATGACCGCGCAATGATAAAACGAACAAATCTAGAAATAATAAGTAACGAATAAAATAAGCGAGCAAATCTAGTAATAAGTAACGAATAAAACAAATGAATAAATCTAGTAATAATAAGTAACGAATAGTCTAGAAATAATAAACTTAAATAAACTTAACTAAAATATAACGAAAATAATATTGTATTGATTGATGTGTTTGATTGTTGTGTTTGATTGTTGTTGTTGGTGTTGTGTTGAACAAAAAACAATACAAAACAATACAAAACAATACAATACAAATATATTAGAACGTAAGAAAGAAAGAATAGATTGCCTAACTTACCTATGTTCACTAAATTAACTCACCTACCTATGTTCAATTAGCTCAACTTACGAATTAATCCTACCTATTTGTACAATTACGATAAAAAAAAGGTAAAGAAAAGATGATTAAACATCAAGCAAACAAAACAACGAATGTATGTATTTATGTATGTGTGTGTGTATTTATGTATGTGTGTGTGTATATATGTATGTGTGTGTGTATATATGTATGTGTGTGTGTATGTATGTATGTATGTATGTATGTATATGTGTACGTATGTATGTATATGTGTATGTAAGTGTCTGTATGACCGCGCAATAATAATAACAATAAAATAAACGAACAAATCTAGTAATAATAAGTAACGAATGGTCGAGAAATAATAAACTTAACTAAAATATAATGAAAATAATATTGTGTTGATTGTTGTGTTTGATTGTTGTTGTGTTGAA